CATGGCGGGGGGCAGGAGCACACATCATCACCGCAATTGCACCATTCCCACATGGAACAGACAAAGCACAGGCGCCAAGACGTTTCTGGTGAAGTTTACATCTCAAAAACTGGAAGATGGCTTTGTCAACAGCAACCAGCCTGCCTGTCAGCTTTGTTTCCAGCATGAATATTGGGGGGAAAGGCTACATATTGCTGCAGCTCAAGTCTGGAGATGAAATGCAAAAGTAAATTAAAATTTCTGTGGTAACTGCTTAATACGCAAGGCTGATAATCAAAGGTTGGGGTGTAGCATTTCTGCTGCATTTAAACAGCACAGAAGTAATCTGCAATCCGCCAGTACAAATGCAAACAACAACTTCAAAGAGCAATGGCTTTTTTTTTTTCCTCTTCTCCCTGGCTAGAATCTCTATATGCCTGTGAACGCTTTGTAGTATTTCTTCTATCATGACAATTTAATTTTTTGTTTGCTTTTTTAAGGGAGAAAAAAACCTTCTGCTTTAATGATATTCACCATGGTATACTTAAAAGTGTCTTACAGAAACGGAGTCTGGCATTTTCTGTTTGCACCAGTCAGTCGCTGATGATTGATCTCAGAAGCCAGCCTTCATTTTCTAAGCAAAATAAGCTGCAGTTGGCAAAACCTGATTAAAGTGAGTGGAGTTTTATCTGATGTGGCTGTTGCCACTCATTTCAGCGTCATGTCTCTCTTTTCAACTACAGAGGACCTGCAGAACACAGAACAAAAAGTATGCATCAGTTTATAATGCACTGTTCTAAAAGTTTAAGTGTTCCTAATAGGCCATCAAACTGCTAGGAAACCAGGATGCCATGGGGTAGAATAAACTCTTAATCTCACTGTTTGTGCCGCCATCTTTACATAGAGGTCTGCCACAGGAGAAGCTACTAGCCAGACTGATGCTACCATGAAACCTATCGTGGGAAAAGTTGCTGTCAGTGAACACGAACGTAGTAATAAAAAAAAACAAAAAAAGATGGATCTTAACTTTGCTTCCTGATTTTTGAGACTTTAGGGCATAGTGGATCCATTGTGGCTTCTCCCTCTAAGAATATGAAGCCTGAAAATATCCCAACACAAACACACCATGCCAGCAATCCTCATCCTGCTCACTGGAAAGGGCTGACACCACCCCATCTTACTGCCCCACAGACAGAAGAGCTCCTTTTCCTCTCATTTCTGAGGGAGACAGTGAGAGAAGGAAGAGTAGGCGAAATTACATGTGAAGAGGTGCAAATATAAAACTGACAGGCTTGGAGACAACACATCTCATTCGAATGGCTATTTGCAGAGCAGCTCCTCTGCAAGATAACTAATGGCATGTGAAAAGGTCCTACGCACGGAAAACAGTCTGTCATGTTAGAATAAAGAGCTCTGAAGCTGTGAAGTCTGGCATAGCTGTAAAAATAACTTCTGCTTGGGAAGGGAGGCTGGGAACCCCGCGGCTCCTGATTCTCTTCAAAGACAATGCCCGGTGCCGTAGCAAGGAATGCAGAGGCTACTGAGGCTCCTACAAATCTCCACCTAAACCTTAATTTAAATTACTATCGAAGATTAAAGGCCAGCATAAGCCTACACTCCCTTGCAACTGCATTAATTATTAAGGCAACATGCAGAGCTCTGTAATTGGCTCCTATCTGTTAGCGCAGCATTGAGTTTATAGGTTAGGGTGGTGGCAGAAGGATAATGATGATGATTACATATGATTTCTGGGTTTACTCATTTGGGGGAGAGGTGTGTTCTAAAATTGGAAGCAGTTTTAGGAAAGAATCAGGGTGCCCTTCCCGTAGCAGAAGCCAGGAGAGAGGAGTGGGCAGCCCAGCCACAGGGAAAGCAAGGATGCAGTGCTGAGATCCTCCTGCTAACTGCAGTCCAAAATTAGATGGTGGCACTGCCACAAAGTGAAGAGAAGGCAACCCCCAAACCCCTCCAACCAATCAAAAAAATACCCTTTCTCCCTATCCTTGGCAAAAAATACCCCAGCCCTGCTTCTGCTCTGCATAAGCATTAGCCACTGCGGTAGGTTTTATGCAGCTGTAACCTTGTCTTGCTTTCATTTGGTTCATTCTATTGAGAAGTTCAGGCCTTTCCACTGGCCAGAAACCAGTCAACTCCTGCAAGAGTCCTATCTCTCACCTTTTAATTACTAGACTTACACAGTAAGTTATAAACAACTTAATAAAATGAGCCCACCGTACATTTGAAGAGTACCTGAAAGCGTGGGTCTGAAAACAAAGTCCAGGGGTCTGCCAGCAGATCTGCTGCAGCCAACTGCATGTCCTCGATTTGCAGAGAGTCCCTCTCCAGTAACCCACCATCAGCAAAGATCAAGGTGCCTGCAACGTGCACAAAGGACGTGAGGAACACAGGGAGAGAGCTTGGCTGACGTATGGCAACACGGACCCCTCTGGTAACCTCTTCACATGCTGGATGACTAGGCCTGGTCCTGAGCTGACTTGACTCCTCTCAGCTTGGGCCAAACCCACTGCAGTGTTGAAATCCTGGTGAAAACTTTTAAAATGCAAATCACAAGAGATGGAAGAGGAAAAGGGAGAGATCTGAGGTCCTGCCAACATCTCTGGATGCAGATGCGGGGAAGAGTGGGATGGAAATTATTTCAAGAGGTGGGAAGCCAAGAAAGGGAGTAGACAAGGTGCCCTTGCCTGGGAGACGTGGACAAGAGATCATCTCCTGGAAGAAGGAAAGCAGAAAGTATTGCAGTCATTCTGACATCATTTAAATCTGAAAATAGAAGACAGTGGTGCAGGGATCAGCAGCGGTCACTTCCCTCCCACAACGTGGCCTGGGGAGGGGACACAGCAGTGGTCCCAGGGCATGCCACACTGTGTCCCTTCAGCAGCGGATATCACCACACCACCACCACCATTAAATTGTCAGTTAAGTTTAATGCATCATAAAGAAGTAAAACTACATTGGCATATTTAAGACAAACACTTTTTTTTTTGCTATGCACACTATCCACTGGACAGTCCCCTTTTCAAAATAACTACTTTTAACAGTCCAAGACACTTCTTCAGAAATTCTTCACATACTCAACCTTCCACGCTGTTCCTTTATTTAAATTTGTCTGAGAAGGAAAAAAAAATCATTAAACCTGAAAACATTTACATTGCAAGCCACGTTAGAATGCATAATTGGTATACAATAACCAATGCATAACAATTGTCTTTTACTTAGTTCACTTTGTTCGTCAATAAAAGAATATAAAAATCTTGTTCAACCGAGTGTTGTGTATTAAAATAGATTTGTATAGTACTGCACAGTTTCTCCCGGAGTTGTGAAAATGGTTGAAGGGACCATGTGCTGCCTAGTGATGGGCAACGGAAAAAGCCAGTCCCTCATGGGGTTTTTTTATTTGTTTAAAAACAAAAAAAAGAGATTCGGCACCATGTGATATGCTGATGTGAGAGACCAGCCTTGTGTCATGCTCTGGTAAGTACCTGTTGTGCTACTCGACGGAGAACTCATATACGCCAGAGATGATGACACCCGGGGGGTGTGTGACATTGAGAAAAACCGGGGTGCCCATCACTACACTCCCGGGCAGGCTGCAGGGTGGCGGGGGGTACCTGTGGCCTAGTACGGGCCTAATACGGGCCTTATACAGGTACGGGCGGCCAGGCGGACCCTTGTAGTATCAGGAAGACTAAGCTAGTGACACAAGCAGGCGCACTGGGATTTTCTCAGGCTAATGCTAAATGCTTCCCAAATGTGCTAAAATCCAACAAAATCTTCAAAAGGAATCAAGTTTCCAAAAAAACCAAAACCCCAACAAACCCTTAACATTTTCCACAGCCTGTCCATCCCCCAGTGCTCTTGATATTATCCAGTATAAGAAACAACCCCTTGAGGCAGTTTTTTTTTGTTCCTGTACCATTTCAGCAGATATTTCTGCAAGCAAAAAAGAAAAAGAAGAATAAAAAAAATCATGTCACATATTTTTAGCAATAAAAACGCAGTACAAAAATGTAAAGTTATCTTTTTGGCATATTATCTGTACTGCCAAGAAACAAAAACCAGAATATTTATTTGCTTTCTCTCTTAAAAAAAACCCCAAAAATAACAAAAAAGAAAACTCCCAATATAATCTCTTTAAAAAAACAAAACCCAACCTGCCAAAGAGATATCCACTATTATGGTTTATGCTAAATTTTGCACAAAAACTCCATGAGAAAAATACACTGATAGCAAAATAAGTAAAAAGGACCTGCAAAAAAGTAAGGAGTTTTACAGTCATACTTTTTTAAATACTTCGGAACGCATATACAAAAAAAAAACAGCAGGAAAATACTTCAATATTTTACTAGAAACGCTAACTTCATACAGTTTCTTTATTTAAATATCTGCAATTCTCAACTCTAATAATACTGAAAAAAAACGTTCTTTTGTTTTGAAGGCTCTGTGAGTGTCCGTGATGTCGTTCTGGTCAAAACTGCCCCATCTCCAGGTCACCTGAATCAACGGGGCCAACTTTGTTCCTCTGGTAAGAATCCATGTCGAGTCCTAAGTAGTTCAGTTTCTGGTTATCATCTCACCGATTTCCCTCCCACACACAGCTCGCAGCCCAACTACTTCTCTACTAGCTCACTAACTCTTTGCATTGAAAATTTTCCCCTTAAAGCAGAACTAGAAACCTGTCTGCTCCCCACAAAAGGCTATCCTGCTTCCTACCGGCCATACTTTTCCTGGTCATCCTCAGTCATAAGTACATTAAGGCCAACATAACAAAAAAAAATCTCATAAGCACTGAAGGTCTTGGCAAATACAAAACCACAGCACAACCCGCTCTGTGGGAACCTGCTGCCACAGTGACCTACAAACTGGACTGATTGGTTTGCAAGTTTCTATGCGTATCAAAACTGAGATTGCTCCTTCTCTCCTTTGTTTCAGTTTAATCTCTCCTCTGTGCATGTGTATAAAGTTTTTTCCCCGCTTCCTTTGCTCTCTTGCAGCCAGCTCTGTCAGTTGTTACCCTGTGATTGCTGCAAGGCTTTGTGCATGGCAGCGGAGGCAGAGGAGGGTTTGATCCAGGGGACAGTTAGCAGGGAGGAGGTGGTGGTGGTCGTCATGGTAACCTGAATCATCTGCTCGTTTTGTATCAGTCTAATGAGGGTTTTGAGACGTTCCAGTGATGACTGAGTCCCTTTCTGCTGGGCCAACAGGCTGGTTTTTAGCTCTAAGCATTTCTGTCAAATAAAGAGAAGAGGAGAGAGAAGGGAAGACTGAGAATACAATCAAATTGGTGTCAAACATCTCTCCAAACATCCTTTCGTGTCTTGAGTGCACGTCCTGCTCAAATGAAGTATATTCTCCTTTGGGGATAGCAAAACCACAGCTTAACGAATGGAGTAATCACCAGTGCTGCATACGCTGCAGCAGCTGTCTGAGGTAACAACATTCATCTCAATCCAAATTCATATAGAGGACATTTCCCACCTCACCCTGTAGACACCCTAGCAGAAATGCCTTCTGCACTCCAAAGAGATTACTGGCACAGGGTTGTAATAGCTGTATTACTGGAAAGTACCAGAGCCACCAGTGAGATCTCTAAATCTTACCAAACGGCACTAATAAGTGCTTGAGGGGTAAACCTCATCATGATACGTTTTGTACGTGCCACACATTTTAGGTAGTCAGTACTGCAAAGATCAGTTGATCTCTCTAAACATGATGTCAATATCTTTCCAGCAGAAAAGTTGATCTAAGACACTACACAAGACAGCCTTTTTCCTGTGGGGTGGCCAAACTGCACCCCACAATCACTTGAAACTTTTCATACAAACCTACATGAAAATGAGGATGAGAGCAGGAGCCAAACAAAAGCTTGCCAAATCTCCCTCTTCTCCAAGAAGAAGGAAGGAAGAAACAGTAATACTCCTTGCCCTTCCGAACTCCACACTACTGCAGCTAAAATCCCATCTTTCACACTGTCAACTGGCCTGAGAGGGACTATGCCACTGACCGAAACCCTGAACCTGTTTGCTAGATGGAAGGGGATGGGATGGTGGCCTCTCTAATATCTGAAACCTCCTGTTTTCTTTCTCTCAGTGAGCCCTGGGGTCTGGCAAAACTGGTTACTTGTCTGCAGATTGCTCGGTTTTGGCTATGATCTAGGCTGCCTGGGGTAGCAGGGGGAGTCTCCAGTTTCAGGGAAGTGGGAAATGCTCACTTGAGAGTCAAGTTGTTTGAAAAGCAACCACGTGGAGACAGTCAGAAGTTGGTTTCGACAGTTGAAGTCTCAGGTGAAGGATAAATCATACCATTCCTCCTGTGGTGTGTATGAGAGTGTTCTCTTTAAAGTGAATCTCTGTTAAGACAAATGTCAGAAATGAAATTGCTCTGTGCTGGAACACCTTTAATTGCTTTTCTCCTTTCAAGTAGATATATCTCAAATAAATACAATCATTGGCTAATAACACCATTGAAATAAGACAGTGTTGGTCACTGAAATAACCTGATTCTCCTTTGCTACAAATCTTACTGATTTTGACAGGCCTGACATACACCTGATAGATGACTGCATCCTCAAATGCTTTGCCACTGCACTCTCCTGCCTACTAAAGATATTCTGTACCCCAGAGCCACTTCTTCATACATACGTGTGTTTCCATTAGTGCTGATGGTGGCTACACACACTTACAGGGAATATTCCCCACTGTGATGTCTTTTAATAAGTTATTGCGTTTCCTCCCACTTTATTTTAAATGTGATAAATATCTGAACATGTCTCCTCTGGATAACTGCAGTGACCAGTTACTCCTGCCGCTGCCACTTTGATTTTTCCAGGGTAAGGAAGTTTCAAATATTTATTGAGATCACCATGCAAGCTAACAACTACCCCTTAAGAGCTGGCCTGAGGTGAAGTAGCCCCAAATAAGTCCCTTCACCCACAGAGGATAGGAATTATGGCTTTGAACCCAGCCGACTGCATGGGCATGGTATGCGAGGGAGGTATCTCCAGCTAACTTTTAGCTTTGAAATGAGCTCATGGAGAAAATTACTGTGAATCTATTTCCAGTCATGGACAGGTTGTTACAACATTCAGTCCCTGAGACAAATAAGGACAGTTATTTCTACCTAATCTCAAAAGTTTCAAGCTAACAGACAAGCAGCTACCACTGGAAGATATGCTTGTGACTAAACTTTTCACCTAGAAAATGCAAGTGCCTTAAAGTCACTGGGTAGATGAGGGCTGTGTATGGCACTACAAGGAAGGCAGTCACAGCTGTTTTGTTGGTTTCCTTGTGTGCAACAGCATTTCAAGTGATTTCTCCTTCTCAGCCTGCCAAAGCAGCTTGCTTTTGTGCATAAAGGAAATCCATGTGTTTTATCTCAGAGAAACACATTCATACTTGCACATCCATAGCATGGGAGCATAAACCATTTTCTAGCCACAAAATATCAGTTTTTCAGGCATAAATTGTTTATAAGCATCTCTGCAGGAGACTCTGTGTCTCCAGTCAGGTGTCCTACCTTCACTGCATTGTTGAGAAGTCGATCTTTTTCTTCTAACTGTCTATGCTCACTCTTCAGCTCACTGCTTCTCTTTAATAACTTTCGCTTCTCTTCTTCTTTGACTGCAGAACAATAAGATTAAGGATGCAGAAGTTAAGAAAAGGACACACAGCAAAACTGTGTGCTTGACAACACAAAGCAGAAGCATGCATTTTGAATGGTGAGTTTCAGGTCTCATTAGCCTTTTGTCAGCAGGTTCAGCCAAATCTGGAGTTTCTGCTTGCATGCACGTGTCTACATCAATGGCTAGCACACAGGACAACCCTAAAGCTATACTGCACCTTTGAGTTGAATTAAAATTAATCCCTGGACCACATGCGCTCCTGGAGGTCTCAAAGAAAGAGGGGAATGGTATTTAAGAACAGGTCAGCCACCTGGAATGGCAATAGTTCAGTGACCCTGGCTGCAAAGCACAATCACAATGGTACCAGACATCTGCAAAGCTCCTTACAAATATGACCTAATGCCCCAAACAACCCACTGTAAGGGTACAACAAAAAAATAAAAAACAGTAATGGTCAATGCACAGATATCATACAACATCTTATACTAATAACTGCAATATCAAATAACAGTAAAATAATTAGGAGCTGATATTACTGTGGCATCTGAGACACTAGTCTGGCATCATGCTACATGCTCAATTCCATGGCTCTGCCTAGCCTGACTGTGTCCCTCTGCCTCCCAGACTGATATGATTCTGGCTCAAAATCCCATTTTCAGCCTTGTTCTCAGGAAGGCACCACTTTGATGATAGCCTCCTCCACAGAGTGAAGTCCCTGAGAGATCAATCTCAGCTTCCTTAGAGGAGATAGCGAAGGAGAAGACTGAGGGAAAGGGGAGAGAAAGTGACGTCCTGTTCCCAGCCACAGCCCCTTATGGCCCTTTGCTTAATAATGCCATGATAGAATTGTAATTCATTGTAATTCATGGTAGAATTACAACACTACTTTAATATTAGTGCCATGAAGGACTCAAATGGCATCACCTGTCATGAGCAGGGAATCTCTTGTCTATAGCTGTGTTAATCCCTACCTGTTTTATGAGTAACATAGGAGTGGACGATAGCCAGAGTTCCAGTCCATGGCACATTGTCATCTTTCTTTAACACCTATAAGCCCAGGAAACAATAACAAGTTAGAGCTTCACAAAGACACACATTAATGGCTTTCTTCCTCCAGCCTCACAGCTCTGCAGGACCAGATGTAGGGTCCTTGTCTCAGAATTCACAAGCTGAAAACTAACAAGATAATAATTTGAGTAGCAGTCTCCACTGAAGTTTACTCCTTTACACAACACTATAAACAGCACTACCAAACAGCGCTAAAAGGGGGTTAACAAATCCTCTGTTTCTTTTTGCCATGGCTAGAAGACACTCTTCAGCCCCTGACAAGCAGATTTCCACACTGTCAGGAGCGTTGTCTACTGAGCATGGGAGAGGTTGTTGGTCCATATGAAAACATGACTGCACAGATCTCATCCTGGGCTGTTCTGCTCTCTGTAACTGCTTACTAGAATTTCCCCTTGACGTTTTCAAAGGAATGCGGCAGTGATCTCAATGCTAAACACAAAGAACTCTAAGGCACAAAATCTAATCCACTCAACAATTTAGTGACACTGTACTGTTTTAGTAATTATTTTCCTGTTCATGCAATCAGCATTATTCACAGCAACTAAACAAATTAGCATTTCTGACATGGCTATGATCAATAGCTATCTGTATTAAACATGACTTTTAAAAAAGGACGAATTCTTTTTACAGCTTGCAGATTCACTGGTGACCAGTGTCTGCTTCTGACACTATCTCCCTCATCTATAAGGTTTACATTACTTCTCTGGCAACCCTACATGCTGGTGGCCTTATTGTAAAGAAGGGAAACAATGGAAATGAGGAGACATTTTAAAAGGACAAACCTAGCAGATGTGATTACAGTGAAGCTAAGGCATTCAGTGCATGTTCTAGCTCTAGTATGATGAAAATACCAGAAACAAATGCCATAAGCTGTACTAAAAACCTCTCAGTATTACTTTAGTTAATGTGGTTCCCTAAACCGTGACTATAGCTTAGATAAGTTTAGTGTTACACAAATTCAAGGTTCTCCCAGTTTCTTTCCTTAGTGTGCTATGCTGCATGTAGCTTACCTTCTGTTGGCACTTTGGACAGACCCACACCCCCTTGGGGGCAGTTTTGAGGGGCGGGTCCAAGCAGTTGAGGTGATATGCTCTGGGACATGTACCACAGGGCTGCAAGTTAACGCCACGCTTACAAGCAGTGCAGTGTTCATCATGGTGGATCTCATTCTGCAAGAGAAGAAGGAGGATGGCTTGAGTCATTGCGAACTTCTCTCTATACAGGATTCAAAGCCACTATTGCAGCAGGCAGGCTCATTCAAATACAAAATCTAATTGTCAAAAGCATCCTGGTTGCTGTAGAAGATGACAGAAATAATGGAGTACAACAGCAACAAATACAAACAAACAAACAAAGAGCCAGAAGCAAGTTCCATAAATTGAAACAGATAGAAAAAAACCCTCAAACAAGTAATCAAACACAGGAGAGAGTCTAATATAGCTGACTAATATAGCCAGTTTGTAACACAGGAATTATGTCACTGGTTTTTGATAATGTGTCATTCCAACATATGTATCACCATGTACAGCTCTACTTTGAAGTTGTGGATCACTTGTCCCTCAAGTCCACAGCAGAAGGAAGTAAGCAAGGAAAAGTTTCTGGGGAAAAAGCACAGTTCCATGTTTTAGGCCCATCGCCTCAATGAGCAGGTAGGGAAACAGCAGGCTCAAGTACAACCTTTTGCTATGCACCCTCTTCTGTGAACTCCTCTAGAGGGCTCTTCTGTCCCTCTGTTCCCCTTTGGGCTAATTGTGCTCTGTTCAGACTCCCTCTGACAGCCTTTCTCTAACAGACTGATTAGTACTTTGTCTGAAATAATATATAAAATGAACTAAGACTCATCAACAAAGTTACAATGTCATGTAGTAAATTGCTAAGCTAATCTGGTGGCAACGTTAATTACTCTTTGTATAATTAAGTGCATTTTAATAAAGGAGATACTGATATTGAAACTCTCATGGCTTGTGAATCATTATAAAAAACCTAAATTTTCCTAGTGTGTTTCCAGGAAGGAGAATAATAATCTTGTATCTTTGTTAATTCCAAAAGTATATTCTAAATTTTAGGGATATTAATTATAATGTTTCATGACAGTTTTAGTCACACTTATATCTTGAATTCTGAGTTAGTCCTGTCAAAAAAATCACTCTCTAAAATATGATTGTTTTAAAATTACCTGCGGAAAAAGACTTAATTTTAACCTCAATATAAAGACATTAATCTATACAAACTAGAATGGTTACTCATTTTTCTTAAAATTTTCATTAAAACCACAAATCTGGACTAGCAATTTCTCAACCAGTGGATTCAACAAAGGGATTAAACACAAGCCTTGCATATGAAAGCCCAAGAGCTCACCTCTTTGAAATTCTCAGAGGCTCAAAGATTCAGTTAAGTGGGAAATGTTTCACACAAGCGGTATGAAAGGCAAAGAGAATACTGCAGTTTTGGACCTTGATAGGGACTACAATAATCAGAAGCAAGCACTGAATTACACGGTGATGAGAAAGACACTGATACTACACAAATTTTGCTACACGTACCTTCCAGAATGGATCCTCATTTGCTAGCATATGAAAGAAGGTCAGAGAATAGATTAGTGAGAAATATATTGCTGCAGCGAATGCTAGTTCTCAGCTATGGGAGTAATTTTAGTCAAGCTGTGGCACAGGAGATCAGGGTATTGCCAAAATTAACATGAGCAGGAAAGAATGCAATAGCAAGCAGCGGAATTCACATTTGATATACAAAAATTTACGTTGCAGGAATCCCATGCCCAAAGGTCTGATGCTAAAATGTCATAGTATGAGAACCATACTCTGTTTCAAATTTTCAAAGATTTGCATGCAGAGCTCTACTTCACATGCCAGTAGTCAAAAAGTCTTAAGGACTTCAGCCTGCTGGGTGATGAACAGCCTGGCCCTGAACCAGCAAGGCACTTAAGCAAGTGCTTAACCGGGTGCATGAAAATGGTGCCACTGACTTACTGTTAAACACATTTAAATGTTCAACTGATTCATGGCCAAAATGGTCAGTTACTTGTGTGACTGAGCTTTCTGTTATCATCAACTCTTTATCATGAAACTATGCTCACCCAAACCACCAAGATTTTTTGATGAACTGAGTCTGTAGTGATTGTATCCACAGTCTGATAAGAATGAGAACCATCAGAGCTCACTGGAAAGCAGGCCAAGCCTTTCATAATAATATTTGTGAAATTCATCACACTTTGGTCCAAAAATAAAAGCTTGAAAATTTTAACAGCTTTATGGAAATGGCACAGTGGGTTATAATTTTTCCTGCT